CAAAAAACTTACTCCCCACTACAAACCTAGAATATTATATTTGAGAAAAAAAAAAAAAAGAATTGAACAAGCACACTACACTTCACCTTTTTGGAGTAAGATCTCTTGCTAAACACAAAATTATGCCAGGTGTTTTTAATGATAATTTATCTATCTGATCCTCAAATTATATGTTTTCAATATTCCATTAAACATAAGTTTGAATAAAGTGCCTTGTTCAAGTTTGCACAATCCAAGCAAAGTTCACAAAACGCTTTACAAACTTTGTTTAATTAAACACAATACCACACCTTTGCTTTAAATGTAACAATCGTAATTTCTTGCAGACAATTTTTAATGAGTTTGCACTTTGCTATACCCCTCATATATTTTCCTCTCCTTCCAGGCACAGGTGATGAAACTGTGATCAACATTATGAAATTGGATCACAATTATGTCTTTAATCAAAACAAACCAAGCCTTATGCCATAGGTGTGGAAATCCATTTTGCTATGCTATCCAATTGCAGTCGTATTTTGTAATCAGTGCTTTTGGCCAAACTCACGGTGTAAATTATCTGGAAAAATGAGAAGACGTGTTCTGTCTCATGCTGTTGTCAGGTATGTTTCATATGTAGGTATAAACAGTGAGAGAAATTCAAATTTCACAACAGCTGAGTCATTTCTGCCACTAGGAACACTTGTAGTTTATTTGTAGTTTCTCATGATTTTTATTAATAGCAAAGCTGTTGTACGGTCTGGGATCATTTCTGCGCTTACATTATTACGCTCTCACCAAGTTGCCGGCGCTTATTTCAGTCAGTACTAAGCAGTAATTCAATTGCTTTTCCCAGGGAGCAACTCGAACCTCACATGCTGATTGAATGACCATTCTGCACAAAGCAAGGAGTTACGCAGGGAAAATACCACAGTATAAGACATGATCACCAAGTTACTGATATCTTATGCATCTCACATCTAACATGAAAGTTTCCTGATTTTAATTAATATCTATAAGGTGTAAGAGTTTGATACCCTAAATGCTCCCAACTGAGACATCCTGATCAAAACTCTGTTGCAGAGGTGTCTAGAAACCTATCAGAAAGCCAAATGTTTCTCTTTGCTTTGCGATGACTTTATGGAGATGAAATCTTACAATGAATTTAGGATGATATCTAGCTAAGTGGAAAGAGTTTCTAACAGTCCAGCAGAATTTTCCAAGTGCCTACATTCATGTACTTGAACACATGGGACAGAAATGTCTACCACATGATAAATACAACATGGAGAAAATGTTTTAAGGTTATATTCAATTTGGCCATACCTATTTTTTCCAGCCGTTGTTTCCTACACTGATATATTGCTGTCTAAATCTTTGAGGAAAAGGCATTACATGAAATTAAAATTATTAATACCCATAAAATAATTATCAACAGTTTAATTCAGCATATCCAACTGAAGTTCCCATGTGTGTAAACATATCTTCTGAACACCATTATGGAAATAGTCAATCACTGGTGCTGATATAAAAGATTGACATTTTATATGGATTTTTCTCCTACTTTATTCTGCAGCTCTTTCTAGTCTAGAAAATGTATCTATTAATACACAATCTTTTAAATTGCATTCTTAGTTTAATAATAATCACAAATTAATGGTGTGTAGTCACGTGTCCACTCTCTTGGAGGGAAATAACCATATGCTTCAATAACTAAAACTTCTATTTCCACAAACTAATTAAAAGGCCTTGTGGCACAGTAATCAGAGAAACAGGTGTTTCATTTAGTTTCTCTCCCTTCAAGGTTGAATAGTTGCAATTCAAACTTCCCTGCGATTCCTTTAAAGTCAAAGGAAGTCACATAGTCCTAAACTGCCTATCAGAGGACAACATCCTCCTGTCCCGCCCCAGGATTTGGCAGAATATAAATCAGGAAGAGAAAGAAAACAGTTTTACAGCACAATACGTTAAATTATGAGTGAGCTTTTTTGCCGCAGATTTTGGGAAATTTAGCTCCTCAAAAGAAAAAAAATTGGCCGGGCACGGTGTCTCATGCTTGTAATCCCAGCACTTTGGGAGGCTGAGGCGGGCGGATCACGAGGTCAGTAGACCGAGACCATCCTGGCTAACACGGTGAAACCCCGTCTCTACTGAAAATACAAAAAATTAGCCGGGCGAGGTGGTGGGCGCCTGTAGTCCCAGCTACCCGGGAGGCTGAGGCAGGAGAATGGCGGGAACCCGGGAGGCGGAGCTTGCAGTGAGCTGAAATCCGGCCACTGCACTCCAGCCTGGGCGACAGAGGGAGACTCCGTCTCAAAAAAAAAAAAAAAAAAAAGAAAAAGTTTCCAATCCTGTTTACTTTTCTCTTTGCTATATATTGTGTGTCTGTGTGTGTGTGTGTATGTGTGTATATGTATGTGTGTATGTATGTATGTGTGTCTATGTGTATATGTGTGCGTGTGTGTACATATATACACACACATATGTGTAAATACACAGGTTGATTCCATATCTTTGCTATTGTGAATAGTGCTGCAATAAACATAGAAGAGCAGGTATCTTTTTGATGTAATGACTTATTTTCCTTTGGGTGTATGCCCAGGAGTGGGATTGCCAGATTTAACGGTGGTTCTATTTTTAGTTCTTTGAGAAATCTCCATACTGTTTTCCATAGAGGTTGAACTAATTTGCATTCTCTCCAACAATATATAAGCCTTTCCTTTTCTCTACATCCTCACCAACATCTGTTGCTTTTGACTTTTTAGTAATAACCGCTCTGACTGGTGTAAGATGGTACCTCATTGTGATTTTAATTTATATATATATATAATTTACATGTACATGCATATGTACACAGACTCACACATATATATTAAAAACCTGAATACATATGTGTATATATGCATACACACACATATACATAGACATACACACATACATACATATATACACACACATATATACATATATGAAAAGATGTGGCCCTCTCTAAGAGATAGAATCCATTCTTCTTCTCCCAAATGTAATTGGCTAATCAAAATCACACCTCCTGAGACCTGTTCTTGTGAGTACAGGGCGCATTACATACTTTTTTATAATACACGCAGTAACTTTGGAAGGCTTCAGCCTCATTCCTGCTATTATTTAAACTCTGACATATTGCAATAAAACATTTCATCAGGCACTCCAGTTCAGGGAACGATAGGCATCAACACTGTATTGGTAATGCAAAATAAATGGATCGGGGTTGAAAATAATGAGTTTGGTGGATTACATCTGTCACCATGAATTATTATCGTTGAACAGAATAGGGCAAAGCACTACAAAAATAAAGCTTGTCTTCTCTGGTTGAAGGTGAGACAACTACCTCTAATGAGATGCAGAAATTCAAGTGTGAGTTATTAATTATGCACACAAAAGGTTTATCTGCTTGCTCAATCTTACTTTTTTTATGTATATTACTACAGAACAAAAGGTCCCTGTTGCTAAAGCTGGTGATAGTTCATAGTGCTTCCTTGCCAGAAACCAGAAAAGACATTCCGTTTGGCCACATTAGACCATGAATAAAGAATAAAAAAATAAAAACTTGGATATGTGACTAGGCACCCGCAACAGCAGACCCCGATTCAGGCACTGATTCTTCCGCCAGCCTCCTCTGCCATAAAACCTTCCTTCTTTTGGAATTCAGGTTCATTGTCTGTAAAAGTAAGGCCTTGAACTAAACCGTCTTCAACTCCAGCTTCAAAACATTTCTGGACTCTACATAAAATGAATATGTGTATCATTGGGTTATAATTGGGATAACTTGGTAGCTTTTCCTTTTCGTAAGCCGAAAACTTGAAGGAGAACTTATCTGAGTAATAACCTAAGTTGCTTCTCTTAGTAAGGCCTCTGTTAGTGAGTAAAGAGGATATCCACTGCTCAAAAGAAAGTCCTCAGTAGAATATTTTATTTCTCTAGGCGATGTTGCCTAATCAGAGCAGGGAAAGTGCTGCTGGGTGTGACTATATCTTTTACAAAAATGTGATCACATTACTTTGTTTGCTTAGCAAATTGTTATAAACCTTACCATGTATTTAACTGTTCTGTAAAATGACTACAATATGAAATTTTATATCCCATGACATGGTTTGTCATCATTTGTTGAACATTTTTTATTGTTAGACATTCAAATTCTTTCCAGTTTTCTAAATGTCCCTAAAATGAATATCCTCGCACCTGCTTCTTTATGCATATATCTGATTCTTCCATTGAAATGGAATTGTAGGATTAGAATGTAATATTTCGTAACTTGCAACAAGAAAATGTAATTGTTGTTTTCTCTCTGGATGAGAAGAGTTCCTGTGGTACCATGCAGTTCTAGTATATGAATCTGCTGTGTGCACCTACTCAGAGGTGCATCAAAAAAGATCAACAGCCATTGAGAAAGGAATGTGGTCCCTTTGAAATGAACCAGGTTGTGATGTTTATAAGGGAGCCAGAGATTATTTGAAGCATTTATGTACAAACTACGAATAACCAGGGTTGAGGAGTTGTCAGAATGGCAGAAGAAATGCACAGTGGTTCAAGCCTGTAATCTGAGCACTTTGGGAGGCTGAAGTGGGCAGATCACTAGAGGTCAGGAGTTCGAGACCAGCCTGGCCAACATGGAGAAAACCTGTCTCTACCAAACATTCAACAATTAGCCGGTCATGGTGGCACAAATCTGTAATCCCAGCTACTCAGGAGGCTGAGGCAGGAGAATCATTTCAACCCGGGAGGCAGAGGTTGCAAGCAGTGAGCTGAGACAGTGCCACTGCACTCCAACCTGGGTGACAGAGTGAGACTCTGTCTCAAGGAAAAAAAAAAAAAGACAGAAAAAAAAAAGAAAAGAAAAGAAAAGAAATACACATGGAGGAAAGTAGAGACAATCAGATAGAAAAGTAGGAATACTTGTACCCTGGTGGGAAATGTAAAATCGTGGAATCTACATCGCTTACATGGAATCTAATAATCTAACTTTTTCTTTCTGCTGCTTCTCATAGATGAAAAATCCTGAAAACAATGGAAACCAATGAGTCAGAATGAAGGTCAATGCCGTTGTTTTCAATAAGCCTCAGAAATCAAGCATGGAAAAGAGATTGCTGGTGATTATAAACCTGATGTAAAGAGGAACTACTGATAAGTGTAAAAAGTTTTTTGGAAGAGTGTTTCACGCTAAGGTTCTCAGAAGCTTTGAAGCCTTTCATAGCTTTTTCTGCTTCCCAATATAGTGTGATCACTAGGTAACATGTGGAGTGACTTTTCTCAAATCGTAGAGAAAATCTGTGTTCCATTAAGGAGGTAATGAACAGTTATAAAGTAGCAAGTAAATAGTGTAATTTTATAATGAAACTAATTGTGTTTATGTCTTCAAATGGCAATCAAAATTATAACCTTACATAAGTATAACGTTTACATTAATTCTGCTTGTATTAAGTTATGCAAATTAAGTTGTAGTTTATAGGTGGAAAAGCATGTTGTAATTCATCACATGGAAAGGCTGAAGACTTGCTGCTGGGCCAATGATCTCATCATATCTTGTGGTTGTACCATGGTAATACATGTGGATAAAACAACAACAATAACAATGTATTGGCTAAGATAAAACAAATTGCATTTATATCATTAACATTTAGTTTTATTTATTATTTTTAACAAGAGAAACTTTCCTATTACAAAAGAGGAAATGTTAAAAGATTCGGCAGGAATATTATTCCAATGCTGAAATGTAAGACATCCCCAGAAAAACTGTCTCTTCACGTTACTCAATGATATGGCTACAAGTTTCTTGTTTAGAGTTAAGTTTACAGGGATTTATTATTTTCAGTCTCATAGACCAAAGAAAAATAAAGTTCTAGCTGGAAGAAAGTCAAAGGATAGGACTTTTCTCTTGACTAACCTCGACTTCATTCGGTTAAAAAAAAAAAAAAAAAAAAAGCATTAAACAATCTTCCTCCTCCTCTCTCTAAAAGAAAAAGAAACCCTCAAAACCATATCATTGCTATGAATTCACAGATAACCTCTGAAGCCAGAATAATACTCCTTGTCCACAATAAATCCTATATATTGTTTTCAATATACTCCCCTCATCACCCCACACCCCTCCACACACACAAACACAATCACAGCTATTATGTGCCATCATCCCATATTCCTAGCAAAAAAAAAAAATGTCCGGAAAGAAAAAGCAAGTTGCCACAAGAATTATATGCTAGATGGGAGTAGGGGTCTGGGGAAAAGCTCAGATTCCCTTGACTCCAACTTTGCGCATCTTGAGACAATGGTGCAGCACTTAGGATGTTCTGAAGGAAAGAAAGTTTAAGGGAAAGGTAGAATTATCCAGCCAAATTGTCTTTTAAAAGTAAAGATAATAGCAGATATGCTTACGTAAGAATATGCCCAGGGGTGCCTTAGAGCCCTTTTGGACAAAAACTCAGTGATTAAACATTGCTAACCAAAAACAATCAAAACAAGAAATACAAAAACACAAAGCAAGAGAAGACTAGATATTTTAAAGTTAAAAAATAGTTTTTGAGACTAAACCCCTGGGGAAATTTTTATTCAGACCAAAATATAAATTTTATATATATATACACACATACACATACATATAAAATGTTTATATATATAACATTTATATATATCTGCATAAATATTGTACATATATCTATGCTTCTATGTATAATGTAACTCAATGTAGTAAAATAACGTAAGCAATGAAATTACAAAGTCATTTATAGAAGATGGACCATCAGTGTACTTTAAAACTGAAACAGATAATTTTAACATATCATGGTTCTTAATGTTTTCATATTTATTTTTCATTTTCAAATGACATTATGGGTACTAATATCCTTTCGTGTGATAGCCTTTGTGAAATGAATCTTATTTTTAGAAATTTCTTTATCCAACTTGATTAAAGTAAAATTAAATACTTAACTCTTTTGAAAATAGCGTGCATACTATAATCCATTGATATCATATTATTTCTCAGTGTCTACTGATCTACTTCTCCTTTGGCAAGGTTTATAATATTTACATTCTGTTCTGCAGCAATCATTTTCCTAGCTGCAGAGAGTGGCAAGACTTGTGGCAAACAGAAAGATCAGATATATATGCTTTTCAATACAAGGAATTTACGTACCTCTTGACGTTAATGCTTGCAGATAGTTATCATATTTATTTCAACTCTATTTATGCCAAAACATAAATAACATTATCCCTTTGTGGTAAATGCATTTAAATGTTCATGAAGTCATAAGCTATACAACTGCAGTAAGCTTTTCATCATACACTTCTCTTGAGTAATACATATGTTCCTGAACTTCTTTCCAAAGTTGTAGAAACAGAGCTAGACAGACTTGAGGCAAGTCTGAGCTTCTTGGTTTTATGCATTGGTAACATGCAGTGCTACCTAGTGTCATGCCTCCTTATATTTGGAGATAGTGTTACCTGATTGCCAGGAATAGACCTAAACTAAGGCTTTTCTCATTCACAGAGACAAGGCAGGTGAATTCTCTTCAAAGTAGGCCATCTAAAAAGGTATATGTGACTTCAATATTAATTTAATAACAACCTACCCACAATAATTTCCTCTTTAGTTTCACATAAGTAACTTTCCTTGTCTAGACTTGGGCCTATGAGTATATTAAATCTGCTACAAAGACAATCTACTCAGTGTGGTACTAAAGACAAGGTGGAAGGAAGGAGCTTTTCTAGATAGTTTTATCCTGAAAAGATCAGCACAGGAGTGTGGCACTGAGAGCACACTGTACCCTCGATGGAAAGACTATAATAACCAGTAATGTTATGCATTTATTTAGAACTATATATGTATCAAAGAGTTTTCACATACACCATTTCATTCAGTTCACTCATCAAAAGGCCAGAAGGCATCCAAATAACCCTCTAGGTGCATCACACAGCATTTATGTTCTGCCTTTGAAAAAAAAAATCCTCATGAGTTTTGTCTGCCTTAACAAGGGAAGAGAACTAGCAAATGAAAAATACAAAATCATCCTCCTGCCAATTGCTACATAAAGGCACCATTTCCTTCAGTTATCTTACAAAATACCACAAAGGGACAATTCAACCCAATTATTTCCTTGGGATAAAGAAATAAAGTATTGACAAATAAATGCATTACTACTATTTTGACTACATGGTATTTGAATTAGTCAGGGAATATGTAGAACCATTCTTCTTTGACTCAGTTCCATCAATGGGTTTAACATTTGCTAAAAGAAATCTTTATTGAGTCATGTTTGTGTAGTAGACAAAGCATTTCACAGAGACCATTTATACTCATCAAAGAGCGTGGCTGCCGTGATTCTCAGAATAAATCTCTTTGTCTTACCAAAACATCTAATCATAAATTTTTTTGAATAGGAAACCATTTGAGTATCAAATTCTAAGACTTTAGGGGAAGAAGTTTTCTAGATGACAATGTCTTTTTCAGAAAGTTCTCATTTGGCCAGGCTCATGTGGTGGTTTGGGTCTGTAGTCCTGGCACTTTGGGAGGATGAGGCAGGAGGATTGCTTGAGTCCCAAGTTTGAGCCTGGGCAACATAGCAACACCCTCTCTTGCTATTTTTCTTAAAAATAAAGAGAGAAACACAGTTCTTACTAGTGCCGCATCTGAAATGGAAAGCACCGTAGAAAGAAATGCCATAACAAATGCCCAGGCCAATCGTTCACGCTGTGAAGGAACACTATGTGGTTTGCTGCCTATTTGCAGAGAGCATTTCTTCACTAGCAATATAAAGACTAGATTGCAAAACTTGGCTCCAGATGTTGGGCTCAGCCTCCAGGTCTAATGTAGTGGGAACTTTATCAGTCAAATCCCTGTACCGAGCACAGGCACAAAGCCATAGCTATGTTGCATAGCTGAGGTATTCTCTAAAAACAAAACAAAAAAACTGTGAACATCAAGCCCCATGGGCACCTGGGCAATCTTCAGGTGCACTGTGCCCCTCCCCTGGGTGTGAGCCTCTGGTTTCATTCCTTCCTGAGGCATCTTTTTATCTCCAGCTCATCTTTCATCAGTGCCTGACAGTGGAATATCACAATTCCAGATTGGGAAAACAATTCTTTTGGAGCTAGGGAAATAAAAAAAGATTTTGGTCATGGAAATCCCCTCTACTTTAAACCAATATTTTATTCATGTTTGGAAAATACCACTTTGTTGTTGTTTCCATTCTAATCTGTTTCAGTATTTCCTGTTTTAATTCCGAAACCAAATGTATGACAAACCAGGAGGGTCTTGGGCCAATTCCAAATCAATAAAACCAGAAAGTAACCACCAAGTAACCAAATTACTGCATATGCTGGATTTTGTACAAAATTGTAAAAGGCGGACATAAATTGCGTAAGATAATCAAACTCAGAGTTTCAGATATGACGTGTATCAAAGTCAACCAGAGACAGCCCAGTCCTTTCTGTACAGTGGATGACATTTACATGTAATCTGAGGGAGGTGATGAATGTATCATAGGGAAATATTTTATTGATTATAGCATAAAAGAGAGAGAAGAAATTGCCTTTCTGACTTGCATGTCTACTTTTTCTTTCTTTGTTTCTTCCCCCTTTACTTTGCAACTGGAGAAAAGGTTGGTCAAGTTTGAATTGGCGGGGCCAAAAATTCATTCTAGCCCTGAGATTCCGTAAGTCTGTAATAACAATAATCATAGAATTAGAGAATTGTTTTATATTGAAGGAAACTGCACTCAACATTCATTTATTACACGTCTATTCTGGGGGAGGGGGACTAGGCCGACGCCATTTTCCAAACATAAGAAGTGATCTGTAGACTTGATGATTGCTCTGAGATCACTCAACCCAACGAGTGTCGGAGTCAGGCTTCTTGAATCTAAGTTAGATTTTTTCACTCTGGGCCAAGCCTATTACTCTCTCACAGTCTTCTAACCATATTACATTCAGGGTCAATGTGCAGACATGACCCAAAATCATCAATATACTATTTGATATTTTTGGAGGGATCATTTGTAAACAAACAAACAAATTGCTTAATTGCTAGCCTGGACTAGGGACAGACATAAATTTAAAAAAAGAAAGCTATGAACCACAAACACTGTTATTAAAATTGGAACCAGGAAACATGACCCATTAAACTGTCAATTAAATAAATTATCAAATCAAATACAGGATCTTTGTCTGCAGACCATGGTAGGGAAAAGGCTGAAAGGACAACTGGCAAATGCATGCTCTTCTTAAGGCAATTAAGAGCTAGGCCCTCCAATTATGAGAATTTGCAAGAACTGTCTAAGAGAAATAGGATGCTTGTAAACATACCGTTCTTTAGATTCATAATGATCTAATGCCTTATGGTGAATTACGATATCACCACTTAAACTTCGAATGTATTTCCTTAAAATGAATGTGTTATTAATTGTATTTAATTTTCCAGGAAGACTACAGAATATTATTATTAAATATCTTATGCATTTCATGTATTTCCTGTTTATAAATTACTCCCCAAATTAGGTATCATGTTTCCATTATTGTTCTCAAAATTCAGCATTACTATCTCACTTTTTCCTCATTTTCAGAAATTAAAGTTAAGAAAAATTAATAATCTGTGGCAGAAGTTCTGCAATTTATAGCTACTCACACAAGAGCCTGCTGAAATACATTACCACCCTTTAATATTCTGGTGAGCCCAGCAAGAAAAATAGAGTCAACACCCACCTTGCCACAATGGTTTAAATAATGTACCAGTGAACTAACAGCACATTTTTAATCCTACCCTTGTCTCTTAACATGCCAATTTTCCTCGTGTCAGTTTACATTTATTCAGAAAGGCAAACTCACTTTGAAATGCACCTAAGTATAAAGGTAAGTGAGCTACTAATATCTTCATACTGCATTTAAAATCTAACTAAAAAGTCTTTTAATTTTTCAAGAAGATGTTCCATCCATAGCCATGGCTATTGACAAATTTATTGAAACATCAGAATACTCAGAAACAACTCATTGAACATATCACAGATTACAGCAGTTTTGGGAAACATGGAGAATAGAGGCCATATTTGGACAGGTTTATCATGGGGTTCCATATTTGCATTATCTAGATAGGGTAGGTTTCCACACATAGGTGTAAGGCACAGTAATAGGGAGAGAGGAATGAAGGTAAACAAATTTACCTACATTTTACAAATTTACTTTCATCTTACAAAATAGATGTTCCAGTCGTCAGCTTGAAGGCTTGAAGACCAATTCCAAAGCTTCCACTGGTCTTCAAGCCTTCAAGCTGGTGACTGGAACATCTATTTTGGACTCCAGAAACACTACTGCTAGTGACCCGTACAACCACACATTGAATTATACCATGCAGCCTCCCAGTTGTATGGCCTAATCCTTCCATGGGTCATAATAAAAATGCTACACTGCCTTTAACTTTAGTGAAGTTAATTAATTTGTATTAATAAAAATGCCTTGGCAAACCCAGATGAAAAGTTTCATATAGATGTAATCAACTACTTTTCTCCAGATAATTGCCACTTGGCCTGAGAAATTGAAAGCATGCCAGCCTAAAATGCTTTTAAAGACTTCAATCAACTTTCTCTCCCCAAATGAAGAACTAAAAGTCAGAGGACAGACTGTAGGCTGCAGACTCCGTTCTCAACATCGCCCAGCAACATGTATTTATATTACCAGCATTGGTCCTCCAAATTTGACCTGGAGTTGGCCTTTGAATTGGTACAGGGAAGGAAAAGGACAGGGGCTGTAGAGCCCAGGAAAGCTAGAAACAAACAGTCTTCTTAAATTACCCAGATTTGTAACCAAGCCTAAAATAACACAGCCCTGCCAGACTTCAGCCCTAAGATCTGAAGCTCACTCTGAGAAATAATAAAACAATACTGTTGTCTTGGCCTTATTTGTTTTATTTCATTGTCTCTATGTCCATTTCCAAAGAAATGGATAAAAGCCCCTATCCCCTTTCTTAATTTGCTATAGAATCTTGTTTTAAAGCGAATGTACACTTCCCAGAAGAAAAAAATAAAGATTTTCTTTCAAGAAGCAGTGTTTGAACAGTTTCTAGTAACTTACAGAATAATTTTGAGTTAGTTAAATTAAAAAAAAAAAAAAAACTAAGCATGTATTTATTTAGAAAACTTTGAGTCCTTAAAGTTTTAAAACACAACAACACAGGTGTGGAGAAGTAAAGATATTTGATATGAGATTTTAGGTTTCTTTACTTTCACAGTAAGTAGCTTTGGGTTTCTGTCTATATTACTGCCTCATGCGTGACCAACTTATTTCAGTAGTCAAATTGTATTGGATCATTCTGTTAATCAACATACAAAATGTACATAGCTTGACCCATTTGGTTATTTCATGTAGATATATCTTAATCTGTTTATTTTTTAAAGATGTTACTTGATTTAGTTAATATCTCTTATTACAAGGAGAATAAGATCAAAGCTACATAACACTGGAGGCTTTAAATTATTCTATCCTAAGTATGCATTGTGTAGGATCCCTTACATGGTGATGAGTACATTTAATTGTGGGGAAAAGAGAGATCAGACTGTTACTGTGTCTATATAGAAAGAAGTAGACATAAGAGGCTCCATTTTGCTCTGTATTTGAGATGCTGTTAATCTGTGACCCTACCCCCAACCTTGTCCTTGCAAGAGACATGTGCTGTGGTGACTCAAGGTTTTTTTCGGATTTGGGGCTGTGCAGGGTGTCCTTTGTTAAACAAGTGCCTGAAAGCAGTATGCTTGTGAAAAGTCATCACCATTCTCTTAATCTCAAGTACCCAGGTACACGTACATTGCCAACGGTCGCAGGGACCTCTGCCTAGGAAAGCTAGGTATTGTCCAAGGTTTCTCTCTGTGTGATAGTCTGAAATATGGCCTCGTGGGCAGGGAAAGACCTGATTGTCCCCCAGCCTGACACCCGTGAAGGGTCTGTGCTGAGGAGGACTAGTATAAGAGGCAAGAAGGCCTCTTGGCAGTTGAGATAGAGAAAAGCATCTGTCTCCTGCCCGTCCCTGGGCAATGGAACATCTCGGTGTAAAACCCGATTGTATGTTCTGTTTACTGAGAGGAGAAAACCGCCTTAGGGCTGAAGGTGGGACGTGCTAGCGGCAATGCTGCTTTTCGTGCACTAAAAAGGTTTATGGAGATGTTTGCATATGCATATCAAGGCACAGCACTTTTCCTTAAACTTATTCATGTCACAGAGATCTTTATTCACATGTCTTACTGCTGACCTTCTCCCTACATTGATCCTATTATCCTGCCACTTCCGTTTTTCTAAGGTGGTAAAGATAATGATCAATAAATACTGAAGGAACTCAGAGACCTGGGCCGGCGTGGGTCCTCTGTATGCTGAGCGCCGGTCCCCTGGGCCCAGTTTTTCTTTCTCTGTACTTTATCTCTGTGTCTCATTTCTTTTCTCAAGTCTCTCATTCTACCTAACGAGAAACGCCCACAGGTGTGGAGGGGCAAGCCACCCCTTCATTTAATGACATCATTTTTGTATTCAAGAACTAAAAAACTTTAGACAAGGTCCAGGCGAGATGAAACTTAAATCTCACTTTCTAAAAAGTATAATAAAAAGCATATTAGGGAAAAAAAGTTGAAGCTAAGAATGATATTAACGATACTAAATCATGAAGTGTTTTTGCTGAATTGCTTAATAATCACAAATTATCTTATTATCTTGTCATAATTTAATAATCAATAGAACTAGGTATTTCAAATTGTGATAACATTACTTGGCTCATAGGCAGGAAATTACCATTGAGTTAAAAAATCACCTTAAGACTTGGAACCAACCCAAATGGCCATCAATGATAGACTGGATTAAGAAAATGTGGCACGTATACACCGTGGAATACTATGCAGCCATAAAAAAGGATGAGTTCATGTCCTTTATAGGGACATGGATGCAGCTAGGAACCATCATTCTGGGCAAACTATCGCAACAACAGAAAACCAAACACCTCATGTTCTCACTTATAGGTGGGAACTGAACAATGAGAGCACATGGACACAGGGTGGGGAACATCACCAGGGGATAGGTTGTAGGGGGAACATCACCAGGGGATAGGGGGAGGAGGGACAGGGGAGGGATAGCATTAGGAGATATACCCAACGTAAATGAGTTAACGAGTACAGCACACCAACATGGCACATGTATACATATGTACCAAACCTGCACGTTGTGCATATGTAACCTAGAACTTAAAGTAAAATAACAATTAAAAAAAACCTTAAAACTATATTATAGCAACATTAATAAAACAGTTTTGGGCTTATAAAAAACAGGCTCTTCTCCTAAAGAGGCTGTGAAGAGAGGATTTTTCCCATTTTACAAATCCTGTGTTTAAGGAACCTGCTCAAGCTCACCCAGCTAAGAAGAAAGCCTTACCAAGTTATATCTCTGCCTCTACACTGTTGAGATCTGTTCCCATAGCTACTTTTAAGTTTGGGGATGATTTTTATTGATCCTAAACATTTCTCATTTCCATCTTCACACACCCATACATCCTGGAGATAGGCACTCACTAGAGGCTTTGCGAACTTGCTTACTTGGGGAAATTACCTAACCCGCCGTGTTTCCGATTTCTCCTCTGTAAATCAAAAATAATACTAAAACCTACCTCCTATGGTTGATAGGAAAATTTTTAAAAACCTTACATATGTCAAGATCTTAGTCAGTCAACCAGCATTAGCAATAGAGGAAAGAGCAAATCACGGGAAAATATCACCCTTGTAACTTTCCAATTTCCACCATTTTTCTCCCTGGGTTTGGCATGCACCTCACAGAATCTGCCACGCATGCAGTGCTTGCAAAAAAATAAAGGAACCCTCGGTTGACCTTGAGCAAGGGGTCAACCATTAACTGATCCAGAAGTGATAACCTTATGTAGGGACAGCCAGTCTTCAGAGTGGGTTGGTATCTACTGAGGCAGTTTTGCATAATAATAATGATCGTAATCATCAGACCAGTTGGTCTCTGTCATTTAAATGAGAAAACAGGGTGAGTATGCCAGTTAATGGACGAATAAACCATTGGGGATTAAAAGCATGGGTTTTTAAGTTGAAGAAACCTAGAATCAAATTTGGTTTTGCCTAGCTGGGGTCCTTTGGGATGAACAGACTCGTTCATCCAGCTGAGCCTCAGTTTCCTCCCACATTCCCACTACCCAGCCTTAATTCAAGCCACTCTCTGCCCACCTAATTGGGCTCCACGTTTCCTGCCTAGAGTCCCCTGAACCCATCGCTCACACTGCCCTGGAACGGTGTGGTCAGATAAAATACCGGAAGTCTGGGTAAATTTGAAATTCAGATAAATAACAAACAAGATTTAATACTGTATAGGTATGTTTCATGCTGAAACGTTACTCCTTATTTATCTAAAATTCAAACTTGGACAGGTACCATGGCTGACATCTGTAATCCCAGAACTTTGGGAAGCCAAAGCGGAAGGATGGCTTGAGACTGGGAGTTGGAGACCAGCCTGGGCAACACAGGAAGACCTTGTCTCTAAAAAAAGAAAAAAAAATTCAAACTTAACTGAGCATCCCATTCTTTTATATTTTACTATAAGAAAAATTTACATCTTATAGAAAAATATAAAAGATATAAAGAATTTTACACTTCATAATAAAAGCATATCACAGTTGTATACCAGAGTTACATTACATGCAGAAAATATAAATGTGGCCAGGGTATTCCTGTCTTAAATTATCAAATGGCATCCTATAAGTATTCAATTCAAATGGCATCCTGTAGGTATTCAATCCATGCTTTAATCTATAAGTACATTTCACAAATGTCTTCATGATACAACCATTTTCTGTCTCTCTGACATCATGTTCCATCTCTTTCTACTATCTCATTTTCCTACTTATGTGACTTTCTTTGCTTAAGTTTTTCACTTCATCCAGAAAGCCTTAACTAATTAATTTGTCTCTTACTTATCTCAAACACATATCAGACACTCCCAGCTGTTCACGAACCTGGCTGGATTAAGTGTCTCTTCTCTATACTCCTAGAATCATATATATATATATATATTTGTACTAAACATATATGTGTGTGTATGTGTGTTTGTGTGTATTATGCTAGGAGTAATATATATATGTGTTATATATATTATATATCACTCTTTAGTGATATATGTGTGCATATATATACATATATATAATTTATATATATATCACTTTTTCTTCACCAATCTCCTTCATAAGAATATACATTTTTTGACTTATAAAAAACAGGCTCTGTCATGCCTCATCTGAAAACAAAGCAGCAGTTTCTTTCATGCATGCTGTGAACTCATTTCACGCCTTTCCATAATGACAATAGAAAATTTGCAGAAAAGATTTTTGCAACTTTCAACAAAAGGTCACCTATATTAATATACAAGAGTCCTTTTGCATTTAAAGATCTTCTGTGATTCATTCATCCATTTAAGAAGCATCTGTAAAGGCCAGGCCCGATGCCTCATGCCTGTAATCCCAGCACTTTGTGAGGCCAATGTGGGTGGATTTCTTGAGCTCGGGAGGTCGAGACCAGCCTGGGTGACATGACGAAACCCCATCTCTACAAAAAAATGCAAAAATTAGCCAGGCATGGTGTACCTGTAGTCCCAGCTACTCAGGAAGCTGAGGTGGGAGAATCGCTGAATCTGGGAGGCAGAGATTTCAGTGAGCCATGGTCACACCACTGCACTCCAGCCTGGATGAGAATGATACCCTGTCTTAAGAAAAAAAAAAAAAAAAAGAAGAGGGTGGGGGGAAGCATTCGTTCAGCAGATGTTAAAGTAGTACATTATCCAAAATGAATAGGGAGACGCAGTAGGAGTGTTATAGCAGAGATGAAGTGGTTTCCATAGTCAACAGGCCGAAAAAC